AAAAAAAATGGAATCTTGAAATTCGCAGGCCAATGGATGGAACTAGAAGAAACCATTCTGAGCGAGGTAACCCAGTCACAAAAAGACAATCATGGTATGTACTCACTCATATGTGGATTTTAGACATAGAGTAAAGGATTACCAGCCTACAATCCACACTGCCAGAGAAGCTAGGAAACAAGGAGACCCTAAGAGAGACATACATGGTCCCCTGGAGAAGGGGAAAGGGACAAGATCTCCTGAGCAAATTAGGAGCATTGGGGGAGGGGAAAGGGAACTAGGAGAATGCGAAGGGGAGAAGAGGAGGGGTGAGGAAGACATGATGGGAGAGGGAGGTTGAGCTGGGGGAAGAACAGAAGAGACAAAGATAAGAGATAATGAAATAGAGGGAGACATTATAGGTTTAAAGGGAAATCAGGCACTAGGGAAATATCTGGAGAGCGAAAAGATGATACCAACTAACGATCTAAGCAACAGAGGAGAGGCTGATAATGAGACTGATGACTGACTTATATGCCACCCGCTAGCCCTCATCCAGTAGCTGGTGGCCGGAGAAGCCCACACCCACAACTAATCACCGAACTGAAGTAGAATCCAGATGCAGAGAGGGACGAGTGAAGAGCAAAAGGGTCCATACCAGGCTGGTGAAACCCACAGAAACAGCTGACCTGAACATCGGGGAGATCTTGGTCCCCAGACTGATAGCTGGGAAACCAGCATGGGACTGAACCAGACCCCAGGAACGTGGGTTTCATTGAGGAGACCTCGGAAATTTACAGGACCTCCTGTAGTAGTTCACTACTTATCCCTAGCATAGGTGTGAACTATGGGAGCCCATTCTACATAGGGTGAGCCTAGGCCCTATCCCAAAGGATACGATGGACTCTGACGACGCCATATGGAAGGCCTCACCATCCAGGGGGAGCAGAAAGGGTATGTGATAGGTAGGGTTTGAGTTGGGGGAGTGGTAGGGGAGGACGGGAGGGAGAAGGGAACTGGGATTGTCATGTAAAACAATCTTCTTTCTAATTCAAAATTTAAAAATCGGAAAAAAAAGATTAAACAAAAAAAAGAGAAATCTGACAGTGAAATAAATTTCCCATTATGTACCTTTCCACATCAGTTCCTTTATTGATCTCCAAACCTGCAAGGTTGTCAGCTTGTGTACACTTGCACACACAATCCGCAGTTCACAATGGCAAGAACAAGCTCATAACACTTGCATTTCTCAGAGGCATAACAACTGATAAGGGCTACAGAGAGGGGATAACTGTCAACTTCCTTTGTGGTTCAGAGGGGACACGATTTGTGAGACACCCAGGCATTTCTAAGAGGCAAAGGAAGGGTCCATTGAGGAGGGGGTTCTAGTTTTTACAAAGTGATGTGGGGGGGCGGGGCGTAATGTGTTAAACTACTTTCCTAAGTGTGGCTAGTTAGGGAAGAAGTTTGTAATTAATAAATGTAGAAAAGGGGGCGGAGAAATGCAGACATTTTGCACTGCACTCTCTTTTGCTCTTGAAGCAGCTGGGAACAGTGTCAGAGTAACCATAGCAATGGGCATTATCTGAAGAAGGAAAAGTTTGTTTTTAAGAGATTGACGGACGTTATTACTATTAGAAGGGATATTTGAAACCTTCCAGTCCATTTTCAGATTTCTAACACTCCCATGAGTACTCAATACCTGTTTGCTAACTGTTGAGTGGCCCAGATAAAACAGACACTTTCCAAGAAGCCCAGAAACGGCAGAGATAAGAGCGTGAAGAAACACAAAACTGATGCTATTGAACAAAATGAACAATCTTTTTACTTTGTTTTGGTTTGTTTTTCAAGACAGGGTTTCTCCATATAACCCTGGTGGCACAGGCGCTCCCTTTGTAGATCAGGCTAGCCTCAACCTCATAGAGATCAGCCTACTTCTGCCTCCCAAGTGGCAGTACTAAAGATGAATGTCATCACCATCCACCTAAAATGAACAGTTATTCAGGATAAAATAAGGAGGCAAACTAGGAGTAGAACACTATACCAGTTCAGTAGGGGAACACGTGAAAACACAGAGACAACTGTATTCAGTGGGGACAATGAGAATTTCCATGTAAGACCTGGATCAGCACAAGGATGCTGTGGTGGCTACATCTGTTCAACAAATGAGAGAGAAGACCCTCCTCCATACAGCTACAGAACTAAAAGAAACAGGCCCTGAACATCACCTAGACACCAGAGTTGATCTGCCAGGCAGTTGAAGCTGAGGGTGACCAAGCCTCCATATTATGAATCAATAAAGACATTTGACAAAGTGAACTCTTTTTAATGATGAAACCAGACCAACTGGGCAAAGAGGATAGGCCAGTGCAGTAGACATACACGTGGAAACCCCAGCCAACCCAGTGCTCAGCTTTCCCTCTGGAACCAGGATCAACAAAGGATGCTGCTGTGGCCACTTCTGTGCAGTATTCCCTTAGGAGTCCTAGACAGAGCCATTAGGCAAGACAAAGAAATGAAAGGTGTCCAATCTGCTGTAAAATGTGCCTGCAGATGTCATGAATTTACCTGTAGAAAATCCGAAGAATTCTACAGAAGTTTCTGAAACTGGTGAGCAAACAAACCCACCTGAGCGGTCCTTCTGTAAATGAATAATGATCACAAACAACGGGATGCCCTGCTTTGTCCCGTGCACAGAGAAAGAAATACATGTAGTTGGACAGGACTGGAGGGAATGGACTGGAATAAAAATGATTTGAAAGCAGACAATGGTGATGACCACATGATAATAC